TCTCTGTAAATGAAACACCAGATACAAATTGGCCGGGTACGATGACGACGACGACGACGACGACGACGAAGAAGAAGAAGAAGAAGAAGAAGAAGAAGAAGAAGAAGAAGAAGAAGAAGAAGATGATGATGATGATGATGGCAATAGTAGTAGTAGTTTTATTTATTTTGTATTGTTTCCCGGTTTTGAAGAAGTAGTGTTCCAGTGTTTTGGTCTTGAGCTTTGTAAATGAAACACCAGATACAAATTGGCGCGGGACGTCGACGACGACGACGACGACGACGAAGAAGAAGAAGAAGATGATGATGATGATGATGATGGCGGCAATAGTAGTAGTAGTTTTATTTATTTTATATTGTTTCCCGGTTTTGAAGAAGTAGTGTTCCTGTGTTTTGCTTCTTGAGCTTTGTAAATACAGATACAAATTGGCGCGGGACGACGACGACGACGACGACGAAGAAGAAGAAGAAGAAGAAGAAGAAGAAGAAGAAGAAGAAGAAGAAGAAGAAGAATGTAATTGTAGTAGTAGTTTTTATTTATTTTATATTGTTTCCCGGTTTAAAACCGAAAATGTCTCTAAGGGAATATGTAGAGATATGAATCTCTGCTGGTAATATGTTCGTGTTCATTTCTTTTTATTTTTTTTTATTTTCTACCTTCAAGGAATATTTTTTTTTATCCTTTTCACGATTTCTCTGACATCGTATTTCTTTTTTTTTTTTAATTTCTTCTTGCAATATTAAAACTTCTTCGTCGTTGTTTTCCACAAAATCTCTTTCCGTCGATTGAATGCGTTTTTCCCCCTCTGCACTTTTCTGAAGGCCTCTTTATAATTTTTCATTTTTTTTTCCGGATGAGAGCCCAATAGTCCGCAGCGGTAAGCAGAGAAATTGGCAGGTAATTCAGGGTTAATGGATGGATTGATGTTATAATCGCTCAGAAAATATGTTAAGATATATATGTGCATATATAGGTGTGATTATGTAAATGTATGAGTGCGTACGCGCGTGTGGTTGCGCGTGTGTGCTGTGTTTCAGCGTGTGTAGGTGAATTTATATCCTTTCGTGACAATGAGATCGAAATAGATTTAAGGGCATATTTATAACTTTCTGTCTCTCTCGTTAATTCTCTCTCTCTCTCTCTCTCTCTCTGTCTCTCTCTCTTTCTGTCTGCCTCTCACTCCCACTTTCTTTCAACGCACGGACACATATTTTCTTATTTTACGTGCCATTTCCCTTCCAGACATAGACGATCATGGCCCTCCACATCTTCCCGTCTCTTGTAGCTCTTAATAAATTTTGCCTTTTTGTTATATCTCCCAAAACTTTGTTCTACCATCCGTTTACTCAAGGTCCTCAAATATGTTACGTGTTGCTTTCCACTGCCCTTCTTTCCATTAGTCTATCCTGTGAGTATAAGATTTTCCAGGCCCATTTTCCTCATTACGAGCCCCCAAAATTTCAACTCCTTTTTGTATCAGTTTTCTCTGAAACATCGTCGTTGCTCACATATTTAGTTTATGGTGTCCTCAGCTAGAAAGCATTATTAGAAATTATTTGAAAATTCAATACACATTTATTTAACATTCATATTTAATATGTTTATTTGATCCGTAACACATTTGTGAGGAAGAGATACATGGAAAGTCGTAATAAAGAGATAAAAATTTTCAATATATATATATATATAAATATCTTACTTATTATAAAACGCAGATTGTGTGTGTGTGTGTGTGTGTGTGTGTGTGTGTGTGTGTAACGTTTATATATTGGATCGGATTTTCTACATTTTTTAGCCGATTTCAACAAAACTTCACAGGACTACATAAAATTACCTTGTGGTGGTTCTAACGGCGCCGAAAAGGGGAAAAACACAATTGATTTTTAAGAAAATCAATTTGAAAACACGATTAAGACACATCGTGAGAATGAAAGGGGGGCAACTCAGATCGGGTTAAAAAAAACAGGTTGTGTGTGTGTGTGTGTGTGTGTGTGTGTGTGTGTTCCTTTGTATATAGGATCGGATTTCTTACATTTTTTCAGCCGATAAATCAAACATCCACTTTCTTTTTTGGCAGGTAGTGTTTCTTATTGTTTTGCACACTTTTTTCTTTATTTATACATTCAGAATGCTTTAAAAATTCCATTTACAAGACAATTGTTTATAATAAAATTCTAATTCTATTCAATCCTGGGATCATCATAACGATTGAAAACAATGTTTTTGTTTGAGTTTGGCTTTGACCAATTCGTAAAAAAAAAAGACTAAGACATGTGTGTCCGTCAACCTAAACTATAATCTAACGATCTCTACTGATTGTACGAATCGAAAAATCGGATAATTCTTTATCTTTAGGGAAAGATAATTCCACGTACTTCAGGGCCGTTTTTACAATTCCCTTTGCAATTTGTTATAATGCTACATTACATTGTTACATACTTTAAAAATTCCATTTACAAGACAATTGTTTATAATAAAATTCTATTCATCAATCGATAGACTCATAACGATTGAAAACAATGTTTTTGTTTGAGTTTGGGTTTGACCAATTCGTAAAAAAAAAAAACACTAATTAAGATATGCGTGTCCGTCAACCT